AGAAAGTATTCTCATTGGTGGGATGTCTCCGCTATTCATACAGCGCGTCCAGAAAGTATTCCCATTGGTGGGATGTCTCCGCTATTCATACAGCGCATCCAGAAAGTACTCCCATTGGTGGGATGTCTCCTCTATTCATACAGCGCGTCCAGAAAGTATTCCCATTGGTGGGATGTCTCCTCTATTCATACAGCGCATCCAGAAAGTATTCCCATTGGTGGGATGTCTCCTCTATTCATACAGCGCATCCAGAAAGTACTCCCATTGGTGGGATGTCTCCTCTATTCATACAGCACGTCCAGAAAGTACTCCCATTGGTGGGATGTCTCCTCTATTCATACAGCGCATCCAGAAAGTATTCCCATTGGTGAGATGTCTCCGCCATTCATACAGCGCATCCAGAAAGTATTCCCATTGGTGGGATGTCTCCGCTATTCATACAGCGCGTCCAGAAAGTATTCCCATTGGTGGGATGTCTCCGCTATTCATACAGCGCATCCAGAAAGTACTCCCATTGGTGGGATGTCTCCTCTATTCATACAGCGCGTCCAGAAAGTATTCCCATTGGTGGGATGTCTCCTCTATTCATACAGCGCATCCAGAAAGTATTCCCATTGGTGGGATGTCTCCTCTATTCATACAGCGCATCCAGAAAGTACTCCCATTGGTGGGATGTCTCCTCTATTCATACAGCACGTCCAGAAAGTACTCCCATTGGTGGGATGTCTCCTCTATTCATACAGCGCATCCAGAAAGTATTCCCATTGGTGAGATGTCTCCGCCATTCATACAGCGCATCCAGAAAGTATTCCCATTGGTGGGATGTCTCCGCTATTCATACAGCGCATCCAGAAAGTACTCCCATTGGTGGGATGTCTCCTCTATTCATACAGCGCATCCAGAAAGTATTCCCATTGGTGAGATGTCTCCGCCATTCATACAGCGCGTCCAGAAAGTATTCCCATTGGTGGGATGTCTCCGCCATTCATACAGCGCACCCAGAAAGTATTCCCATTGGTGGGATGTCTCCGCTATTCACACAGCGCGTCCAGAAAGTATTCCCAGAGCTTAACTTTTGCCACATTTTGTCATGTTACAGCCTTATTCCAAAATGGATTAAATTTATTTTTTTCCTCCACATTCTACACAAAAAAACCCCATAATGACAATGGGAAAGAAGTTTGTTTTGAAATCTTTGCAATTTATTAAAAAAGAAAAACACCCCCCCCCCCATGTACATAAGTATTCCCAGCCTTTGCCATGACACTCAGAATTGAGCTCTGGTGCACCCTGTTCCCACTGATCATCCTTGAGATGTCTCCACAGTTTGATTGGAGTCCACCAGTGGGACATTCAGTTGATTGGAGTCCACCAGTGGGACATTCAGTTGATTGGAGTCCACCTGTGGGACATTCAGTTGATTGGGCATGATGAGGAAAGGCATAAACCTGTCTATAGAAGGTCCCACAGGTAACAGTGCATGTCAGAGCACAAACCAAGCCATGAAGTCCAAGGAATGGTTGTAGACCTCCGAGACAGGATTGTATCAAGGCACAGATCTGGGGAAGGGTACAGAAAAATGCAGCATTGAAGGTCCCAATGAGCACAGTAGCCTCCATCATCTGTAAATGGAAGAAGTTTGGAACCACCAGGAGTCTTCCTAGAGCGGGCCGCCTGGCCAAAATTAGTGATCGAGGCAGAAGGGCCTTAGCCAGGGAGGTAACCAAGCACCCGATGGTCACTCTGAAAGAACTCCGGCGTTTCTCTGTGGAGAGAGGAGAACCTTCCAGAAGAACAACCATCTCTGCAGCACTCCACCAATCAGGTCTGTATGGTAGAGTGGCCAGACGGAAGCCACTCCTCAGTAAAAGGCAAATGGCAGCCCGCCTGGAGTTTGCCAAAAGGCACCTGAGGGACTCTCAGACCGTGAGAAACAAAACTCTCTGGTCTGATGAAACAAAGATTGAACTCTTTGGCCTGAATACCAAGCGTCATTTCTGGAGGAAACCAGGCACCGCTCACCACCTGGCCAATACCATCCCTACAGTGAAGCATGGTGGTGGCAGCATCATGCTGTGGGGATGTTTTTCAGCAGCAGGAACTGGGAGACTAGTCAGGATGGAAGGAAAAATGAATGCAGCAATGTACAGAGACATCCTTGATGAAAACCTGTTCCAGAGCGCTCTGGACCTCAAATTGGGGGTGACAGTTCATCCTTCAACAGGACAACCACCCTAAACACAGCCCACATCACAAAGGAGTGGCTACGGGCCAACTCTGTGAATGTCCTGGAGTCGTCCAGACTTGAACCCGATTGAACGTCTCTGGAGAGATCTGAAAATGGCTGCGCACCGACGCTCCCCATCCAACCTGATGGAGCTTTAGAGGTCCTGCACAGAAGAATGGGAGAAATCGCCCAAAAATAGGTGTGCCAAGCTTGTAGCGTCATACTCCAAACGACTCGAGGCTGAAATTGGTGCTAAAGAGGCTTCAACAAAGCATGGAGCAAAGGCTGGGAATACTTCTGTACATGGGGGGGGGGGGGGGGGGGGGGGTTCATTTTATATTTTTAATAAACTGCAAAGATTTGAAAACGAACTTCTTTCACGTTGTCATTATGGGGTATTGTTTGTAGAGGAAAAAAAAAATGAATAGAATCCATTTTTGGCTGTAACATAAATGTGGCAAAAGTGAAAAGCTGAGAATACTTTCAATGTAAATTAACAGCAATATATAAGTACCTGAAATAAAACTGCGCCAAAGTCCGCTCTAAAAAATATTTTAAAAAAAGCTGCGGGAGCTACTTTGGTGGCCTCACACCAAAAACGTGCGGCATCGCTATGTGTGAACGTCATTTAAACTGGCCAACCTGCAATAAACGTATGCAATGTCTATGTATCCTGAGGCTCAGGGGCAGACTGACAACTCATGGGGCCCCCCGGGCAATAGGGGATCATGGGGCCCCTGTGTCCTTGCCCAAACTCAAAAAAGCCTATGAAAAAGGTACCAGGGGCATCTCATGGGGCCCCCTACTGTCCCCAGGCCCTCGGGCAGTGCCCTAGTTTCCAAATGGTCAGTCCGCCCCTGTTGAGGCTACTTTCACGCTTATCCGTAGCAAAAACAGGCTAAAAACGCATATTGCAGCAAAGTGGCTAAATGGTTAGCACTTCCGCCTGGCAGTACTCTGGTCGTTGGTTCAAATCCTGACCATGGCACCACCTGCCTGGAGTTTACATGTTCTCCCTGTGCCTGCGTGGGTTTCCTTCGGGTACTCCGGTTTCCTCCCACACTCCAAAGACATGATGGTAGGTGAATTGGCTCCTGTCTAAATTGTCCCTAGTATGTGTATGTATGAATGTGAGTTAGGGACCTTAGATTGTACACCCCTCGGGGGCGGGGACTGATGTGAATGTACAATATATATGTAAAGCGCTGCGTAAATTGACGCCGCTATATAAGTATCTGAAATAAATAATTATACAGGATTTATATGACGCCGTTTGCTCAGCGCTGTACAACATCTGCATATTTTCCGCGTTTGCTGGGCGTTTTAAACAGGACACGTGGCTCAAAAACGTGCGTCCATTTTTATGCGTTTTCCATGTATTTCAATTGTGTTTTTTGTTTTTTTTTTTTCACCGCAGCAAAAATGCAGCAAGCAGGATTTTACGAACAGTGCGGCGAGTTCCCTAGGAATACACGATCACGCGTTTATCTTCCGCTTTTTTTTTTAAACGCAGAAAGACGAATCGGTGTGAGAGCGAGCCTAACCTGGGGAACGTCTTCCCCATCCCCCCCTCCCGCCATTGTGCAGGATACAATGTAACTCTACACTGGCAGCCATTAGATGGAATGCAGCTGCAAGTAAGGAGGCGCTGCCCCTTTAAGCGCCCTATCTGCCCTCCGACAAATAAATGCCTGGGCCAGGAGGGAAGCTCCGCCCATTCCCTTTAAGAGCCAAGCCGCTCATCAATGCAGGCGGGCGATACCATTATATCAGGGGTGGGGGGAGCCGGAGCTCGCGCTGACTGTTCATTCAGGTCTAAACCATTCCTCTTCTCTGCAGATCGCCTCTACTACGGGCAAGAGATGGGGGGCAGAGGTGCCAGCGATGTGTTTACCTGCCCCCCCACCTCTCCCATAATCGCACCCCCCCCTTCCCTCCAACATCGACTCTCTGCACAATGCACAGTCTCCATTTTGCACTTTTGCAAAAAAGCTCCCTCCCCCCTCCCTTGTTTTTCCCATTAGTTCAGTCCTGCCTCTGCAGAGAAGCAAAAAAAAAGATACATTGTTGCAACGCATTGATAGTTTTTTGTTTGTTTTTTTTTTTTCCTTTATTGCAGCAGAATCTCCCTCCCTGCACCCCCTCTTTAGGGTCTGGTCGATGTAGGTTTGATTTGGGGGGGGGGGCTTTGCAGATGGGGGTGGGGGAGGCTGGGAAGGTGAAAGGTCACAGCAGCTGCCATATTTTGGCTAGTAAATAATGCAGAAATAATCAGAGGAGGAGGAGGAGGGGAGAATTTGGAGAGAGGTGGTGGTGGTGGGGGGGAGATCAGGCAGCCTTGCAGTTATTTCCCAGTCTGCTCTGTACAGGGAGGGGGTGGGGGAGCACCCAGAGAGAGAGAGAGAGGGGAGGGGTGCCAGTGATGTCATTGCAGCTCTGATCTCCCTTTATTCAATGCTGTGTGTATTTTATGGGATTTTTCTTTTTTTTTTTTTTTTTTTTTTTTTTTTTAAATCAAGCTCTGAAAAAAAAAAAAAAAAACTAGCCTTTAGGGGGCAGTGATCTGCAAGGGAGAGAGAGAGAGAGAGCCATCCAAAGCAGAGCAAGGCGAGGGAGGGAGGGGGAGAGTGCTCAGTTCCAGAGAGGGGGGGAGATCACCGGGACACACACACACACACACACAAAAAAAAAAAATTTCTATATTTTATATCAAACTAAAAAAACAAAAATAGATTTTTTTTGCAACCCACCCCCACACCCCCCCCTCTTCGCCATGGATGCAAACTGGACCAGCTTTATATTCCAGGTAATGGATGTCTTTTGTTGGGAAGGGGGCGGCTTTGGGATGGTGTTTGCTGTAGATTTGGGCTGCATGCGTTACCTTTCCTGCTGGCGACTTAGGGGGGGGCCCCATCAAAAACTGAGCCCTGAAAATTAGCATCTTCTTCTTCTGTCTGTGAGTATTTTTTTTTTTTTTTTTTTTTTTGCAGGGAGGGAGGGAGAGCAAAAGAGGAGATGGTGTTGGGTGTTTAAATCACCACCCCTCCCTCCCATCTTTTTCCCTCTCCCTCTTCTTCCCTTTCATAGAAATAGCGAGGCGCCGCGAGGATAATATTCCCTTGCAAAGGGCGGTCTGCGCCGTGTGTCCGCGCTTCGACGCCGAGAAAACAAATATCTCTGTATATCGATAGGTCTGTGCCTGCTTTATGCAAGGCACTAATAGGATTGCTTGCATGGCCGTCATGGCTCCGTGTGTGCAGCTCTTTGTCTGCGAAAACAGCCGCCGTCTCCTTAAATCGGGCCAGACGGTGTATATTTCTGACCAGGGCTGGAGGGGTTGGGGGGGCGGCCTAAATAGTCCCATCACACGCCGAGAATATACCTTACACGCTTTTAAACCGCTGCCGCTGCGTTCTGTCAGTCTGGGGGGTCGTTGCCGGAAAGGGGGTCTTGTTTGTTGTTGTGTCCTGGGGGGAGCGCTGGTGGGCAGGAAAAATAGTGGCAAAAAAAGCAGCACAAATAGTTTTTGGTGCCTGGAGAGCATTCAGGCTCTTACAGCGACTAATGCGGTTTTGCGTTCAGCAGGGTGACAGGTGAACGGCCCACCTGTCCGCTGTATGCCGCCTCATCTCAGAGGTGGGAGCTGGGCAGTACAAAGTGTTACAGCTTGTCATCATAAGGGGGTAAAGTTGGATCGGGGAACGACGACCGCGCGCAAAACACGTTAAAGTTTTGTTTTTTAACCTTTTTATTTGATTTTATCGCTTATTCATTTTTGCAGTAAGTTTGAAGAGGGAGTAAAGCTGTGTCTCCCTTTGGTTTGGGCCTCGGTACATTTGATGTTTTGTCATTTTAACCTTTTTTTTTGTTTTTTTTGGTTAAGAAACACTTTTTTTCTATTTTCTGCAAAATGTTAAAGTGTTGCAATACGTTTCTCCAAAGTAACCACGGTGTGGCCCAATCTGGTGATTGTTTTTTTTTTTTGTATTTTATTATTTTTTTATCATTATTATACAGGATTTATACAGCGCCAACAGTTTGTGCAGCACTTTACAACAACATGAGGGCAGACCGTACATTTACAATACTATTCAAAACAGGAGGAATCAATGGACCCTACTCGTTAGTGCTTACAATCTAACATTTCATATAAGTGTTTATCCGTATAATCAGCACACCGACCGTGCTCAAAATGTCATCAGTTTTGTTGTCGTTTTGCTTTTTGTTTGATTATGAAACACTATTTTTTGCAGTAAGTTTAGAGAGGGTTGAAGTCTGTACCCACTTCGATCTGGCCCCAGTAAGACCACCATGCTCAAAATGTGTTCACGATTGTCCTTAGTTAACACTTTTCTTTTTTGATTATGAAACTTTATTTTTAATGAACTTTAACTGTTGCAACGAAACCAAAGTGTGGCCTAGTCTGGAGATTAGGTTAGAAAATGTAGAAAACTAATGGTGCAAGATTATTATTATCCTAGATTGTAAGCTCCAAGGAGCAGGGCCCTGGATCCCCTCATGTTTTGCATTGTATTGGTATTGTTCTGTCACATGTTCTGTCCCCCTTTGTAATGTACAGCGCTGAGCGAACTATTGGCGCTTTATAAATACTGTATAATAATAATAATAATACAGGAATTGTATAGCGCCGATAGTTTGCTCAGCGCTTTACATTATGGAGGGAGACAATACAGTTCAATACACGAGGGATTAGAGGGCCCTGCTCCTTGGAGTTTGCAATCTAGGAGATAAAAATACTATTTATTGTACATTTGTATTTTATTCTTGTGCAAGATTTTGGTAATCCGTAGCAAAAAAAATATACATGTTGCAATAAAGGTTCTCCAGGGTAACCCCAGTGTGGCCTAGTCTGGAGATTAGGTTAGAAGATGTAGAAAACTAATTGTACAAGATAAAAATACTACTTCTTATACATTTTTGTATTCTTGTGCAAGATTTGGTAATCAATTGTAACAAAAAAAAATATACATGTTGCAATAAAGTTTCTCCAAGGTAACCCCTTGTGTGGCCTAGTCTGGAGCAGGGGCGGACTGACAACTCGTGGGGCCCCCGGGCAGTAGGGGATCATGGGGCCCCTGTGTCCTTGCCCAAACTCAAAGCCTATGAAAAAGGTACCAGGGGCATCTCATGGGGCCACCTACTGACTCGGCCCTCGGGCAGTGCCCGAGTTTCCCAATGGTCAGTCCGCCCCTGGTCTGGAGATTAGGTTAGAAGATGTAAAAAAACTACTTGTGCAAGATAAAAATACTACTTATTGTACATTTGTATTTTATTCTTGTGCAAGTTTTTGGTAATCAATTGTAAAAAAAAAAATATACGTGTTGCAGTAAAGTTTCTCCAGGGTAACCCCAGTGTGGCCTAGTCTGGAGATTAGGTCAGAAGATGTAGAAAACTAATTGTACAAGATAAAAATACTACTTCTTATACATTTTTGTATTCTTGTGCAAGATTTTGGTAATCAATTGTAACAAAAAAAATATACATGTTGCAATAAAGTTTCTCCAAGGTAACCCCAGTGTGGCCTAGTCTGGAGCAGGGGTGGACTGACAACTCATGGGGCCCCGGGCAATAGGGGATCATGGGGCCCCTGTGTCCTTGCCCAAACTCAAAAAAGCCTATGAAAAAGGTACCAGGGGCATCTCATGGTGCCCCCTACTGACCCCAGGCCCTCGGGCAGTGCCCGAGTTTCCCAATGGTCAGGCCGCCCTTGGTCTGGAGATTAGGTTAGAAGATGTAGAAAACTACTTGTGCAAGATAAATACTACTTCTTATACATTTTTGTATTTTATTCTTGTGCAAGTTTTTGGTAATCAATTGTAAAACAAAAAAATATATACATGTTGCAGTAAAGTTTCTCCAGGGTAACCCCGGTGTGGCCTAGTCTGGAGAGATTGTTGGAAGCACAAATTGTGAAATAGGATTATACTATTGTTATACATCTTATTTCATGCAAGTTTTGCTTTTAGAATTGATAACAAAAAAAAAAAAACCCAAACTATTTTTTACTTTCTTTCTTCATCACTTTCATGACTCTCTCTTCATACATTTTGAAGAGGGAAATGTTGTTTTGATTGGGGTATAGCGATATTACGCAAAATGTATTCAACGTTGTCATTATTTAGCCCTTTTCTGTATTTATGAAAAATGTATTTTCAACAAAATGTTAATCTGTTGCAATGAGTATCAAGAAGGCCCACACGGTGTGGCCCGGTCCAGAGATTAAGTTAGAAGATATGGAACACAAATACAATATGAATTTACTATTATATATCTTATTTTTGTGGAAGTGTTTTTTTTTATTTTTTTGAATCGGTTGCTAAAAAAAAGTTTTGTGGACTTCCTGTCATATTATCTATTATTTATTTCAGGTACTTGTATAGCGCCGTCAATTTATGTAGCGCTTTACATATATATTATACATTCACATCAGTCCCTAACCCTCAAGGGGCGTACAATCTAAGGTCCCTAACTCACATTCATACATACACATACTAGGGACAATCTAGACAGGAGCCAATTCACCTACCAGCATGTCTTTGGAGTGTGAGAGGGAACCGGAGTACCCGGAGGAAACCCACGCAGGCACAGGGAGAACATGCAAACTCCAAGCAGGTGATGTCATGGTTGGGATTCGAACCAATGACCCCTAGTACTGCCAGGGAGAAGTGCTAACCACTTAGCTACTGTGCTGCCCATATGTTTGAGGGTGTAAGACTGTCCCCCCCCCCCTCGATTTCACCCCCCCCCCCATAGAGGGGGTAAGACACTGCCCTCTTTGATTCCCCCCCCCCCCCTAGAGGGGGTAAGACTGTGACCTCTTTGATTTCAACCCCATAGAGGGGGTAAGACTGTGCCCTCTTTGATTCCCCCCCCCCCCCCCCCCCTAGAGATGGGGTAAGACTGTGCCCTCAAACAATTGAGTATACATTTGCATTAAAATATTATGTATCACAGTAACATTCATACCATACATTTAAAAAAAAAAAAAAAAAAAAAAAACATTTCTGAACTAGGTCACACTGGTTACCCTGGAGAAACTTATTGCAACAGTTAACCATTTTGCAAAAATTAGATTCTACAAAAAAAAAAAAAAAATGTGGCCTAGTCTGGCGATTTAAGTTAGGAAATGTCGAACACAAGTTGTAAATTATGAATAAATGATTACTATTACATGATTTTTGGTTTATTTTTTTTTTTTACTTCAAAAGACTAAATAAGTTCAAACAGTCGTGACCTTCTGCCTGGACTGGTTGGGTGAATTTAGTTCAGTCTTTGGACTGGTTTTACAACATTTCAGACCTGATTGGAAGCATTATTTTTCAAGATTTTTAATGTCTCTGTGTTTGCAAATTTTCAAAATGCCAACCTAAACATTTTGGCTTATATGCACATTTTTTTTATCGCGGTAGACCTGTATTAATATGGAGGTTTTGTTCGGTAGGAAGATATTTTCCTGTGCACCGAGAGCTTCCTGTGGGCTATTCCAATGCAGCCTTTCCTCCAGCCTGAAATGACTGTATGCTGGGAGGTCTAGTTTTTTAATTTTGGCTAATAATCAATGTTTTTGGATTACATAATGGGCTTACTTGCTATTTTAAAGGGTTTTTGTAGTGTGCCTTCCCAGCTAGCTGAAACAAGACTAGGCCGTCATGTGGCTATATAGTATTTCTGGGGTGCTATACAACTGGTCAATTTCAGGAACTTGACTAAGTGGGTTTTAGGCACTCTATATATCACCAGCACAATACGGACAACATTGGGCCATTCATATCAGCCCTGCACCCAAAGTAGCTTAGATTTCCACATACACAGGCCCATATAACACAGCTAGTCCCACAGCTTTCAAATGTCCACTTGCCTTGGATCATTTAAATAGGAAGGCACATTTTGAAAGTCCTTGTAAGATCGATTTTAGATATTTTTTTTTTCTCTCTTTTGCAGACCCCTCCGCCACCCCCTGCCGAACCGCTGCAAGTCGAACTTTTGCCGGTGTTGGCTACTGTAACTGCGCCGCCAGATGGATCCCTCACCCCCCAGACGATGGTGCACAGCATGGCACCCCAGCACCCTTCTACAGTGGACACGGCAGCCCTCAAGCAGGTGGTGCCAGGTCTGTCTATTCCCCAGCAAATGATACAAACTTCCATCTCATCACAACCCTCTCCTGTCACTACCACCACCGCCCTTCCCCTGCACCCTGTCATGGAGCTGCCCAAGAAGTCCAAGAGTCGAGGTCCCTACATCTGCTCCTTGTGTTCGAAAGAGTTCAAAAATGGCTACAACCTTAGAAGGCATGAAGCGATCCACACGGGCACCAAACCCGCCCGGGCACAGCCGGCAGCCGTTAAAATGCCCACGATGGTGCCGCTAAGTCTGCTCAGTGTTGCCGGCGCGCTCGGAGGTGGTGCAGAAACTCTGGAGGTGCCCAACTCTCCTTCCACTCTCTCCCTTCCAGTGCCTGGGCCCGCTCCCACGGCCAAAAAGGTGCGCAAGAACCACGCCTGCGAGATGTGCGGCAAAGCCTTCAGAGATGTCTACCACCTGAACCGCCACAAGTTGTCGCACTCTGACGAGAAGCCCTATTCCTGCCACGTGTGTCAGCAACGCTTTAAGCGCAAGGACCGGATGACTTATCACGTGCGTTCCCATGACGGCACGGTGCACAAGCCCTACATCTGCAGCCACTGTGGAAAAGGATTCTCGCGGTAAGGAGGACAAATGAGTGGGGCTGGGAGACCAGTTGCTGTTCCACAGTGCAGTACAGTACACAGTAGAATCACAGTTGCAGATCCACAGTACTGAGTTCTCATAGGCGCTCTGCTGCTTTGACAAGGAGAGTAACTTAAAAGCATTATTAATATTTAGCAATTTTTGAACAGCTTCTTGTTTCATAACAATATAAGTAGACCACAGCGCTTGGGTTTTAAAGGCCAAAGATAAAACAAGGTTGGATTAGCTCTACACGGCAAAGAACAGGATGCTAAAATGTTTTAATGTATCAGATAATGAGAGCAGGTTGGTAGTTGGATTTTGTGATCAAGAAACAAGCATACGTTGTAAACTAATCTCAAAAACAAAACAAAAAATCAACACTGTAACAAATGGCAGTAGAGCAGGGGTGGGCAAACTTTTTGACTTGAGGGCCGCAATGGGTTCATATATTGGACCCGGGGGCCGGACCAAGAGTAGATGAATGATGTGTATGTGTCATCCATAGTAAGTATAGTAATATTCCCCCATAGTAAGCATAGTAATTAATCCCCCATATAGTAATTCATCCCCCATATAGTAATTCATCCCCCATATAGTAATTTATCCCCCATATAGTAATTCATCCCCCATATAGTAATTCATCCCCCATATAGTAATTCATCCCCCATATAGTAATTCATCCCTCATATAGTATTTCATCCCCCACAGTACTATGCCCCCCCCCCCAAGTAGTAAGCCAAGTCCCCCCCTGTGTCAATTCACTTACCTTTGCTCCGCGCGTTCCTCTCGCCGTGTTCCCGCGCCGTTCCGGTCTTCAGGGCGGACTGTGAGAGGAGCCTAGCTCCCCTCATGTTCGTCACGCTGCCCCGCCTACACACATCCTGACAGCCAATGTATCACGCTCCGCGGGCCGGATTAAAAGGTCCGCCGGGCCGTAGTTTTGCCCATTGCTGCAGTAGAGTAATGGAGTCCTTGATTATCCGTAACAGGAATGCAAATGTTATGATTGTACCTTTTTATAGTCTTTTCATACTTAATGCATTCTCTCCACTGTATATGTCTAACAAATCTATTTTGATCTTTTATTTTTTCTATTTGTATTTCCAGTCCTGATCATCTGAACAGTCACGTCAGACAAGTTCATTCCACAGAGCGTCCCTTTAAATGCCAGGTACTTGCTATACTGTCTTCTTCTCTTGCATATACGAAGAGAATAATTCTATGATTTAAACGTGGCAGATTCTGTGATATACCCATCTAATATTGCAGATGTAACCTGTTACTTTTTTCTCTTTCCTCTCCATTTTGAGAAGTGAGGAAGAGCCCTGCCAATTGAGATTTTCACTTGTTCACATGAAAGCGACCCTGTGGCCAGACTTTGGAGGTCCCAAGTATTTACATAGCAGCAAATAAGCTATAAAACTGACCTTTGCAGCTGCGGGAATTGTGGACCAAGTCATTCTCAAAAATTCACAGCAGATCCTATGAAGTCAGGACGGTAGAGCAGTTCATCCTCCAGTTCACAGCAGAAAACACCGAAGTCTTTAGTTCAGCTCATTCTGCTTTCCTATCCAGAGCTCCTGCTTTGTCTGTTTAAAAGATAGGAACGCTGGAAGGCTGCTGAGCTACAGCTGGGAGTGGGGAGCAGGGTGAACTGAGCTGCTGAGTGAATGGTTTCAGTGCTTTCTGCTATGAACGAGAGCGGTGCTCCTCAACCTTTTTTCAGCCAGGGAACCCTTTAAAATTATGGATAATCTCAAGGCAAAATGTAAAAAACTATTCTACACCCATCCAGCACACCCAACGTTAGAGGTGATTTATTCTTCCAAAGCAAATACACCTTTGCACACTGGTACTGACTAGTATTCCAGTGTGTCTCTATCATTTTCTCTCCCTCACTCTGCTAATGTGACCCCAGTGCTGAAGGAGAGGGGCAAGGTAGGGCCAAACAAGGATGATGTGCATGCACCTAATATCCTCCTTATCAACTGATGATGTCATTGGTTGTTGGATGCTGGCAGCTAGAAGGTCATAAAAGTGCGCTTTGTGTATTAAAAGGCAAGACTGATCCACCTGCTGGCTTGTATACAATTTAGAGCAGGGCTTGAAAAAGCCGCTCGCCAAATGCGAGGAGGAATTCCTCTGTGGTGAGCAGCGAGTACAGATGAAGCATGAAGCAACTGCACCTGCGCTCCAAGCCTCAGTGTGAAGCCAAGTTCCGGTTCACAACTTCCGGTTTCCGTCTTCTTTGGCTCCGCTGAGAGGAGACACCCTCTCCACTGCCGCGGGGGACACGGAGGGACTAGGAGTAAGTACTGTATACAACATGTCATATCAGTATAATGGAGTACAGGGGAGCTGGAATATACATTACTGTGTACAGTTTTTTATTTTGGACTCTTTATTCTAAAGAATGTAATTTCATAAGCTTTAAGGGGGGGTGTGGTTGGGGCGGGCCAGGGGTGTGGTTGGGGGCAGTCCTGGGCAAGGTTGGGTGGGGCAACTGGTGGAGAGTAAGTTTTTCTTTTGTGACCGGCTAGTAGGTCTGGACTCGAAATTTTAACCCTTGATTTAGGGCATTATGCCAAGGCACCCCTGAAGAAGCCTGAAGGCACCCCAGGGTGCCTGGGCACCCTGGTTGAGAAAGGCTGACTTAGAGAATGAACTGCTCCACAGTGCTGACGGCTAAAGAGGTCAGTGAAGGCTTGCTTTAAAGCATGTACTACTTGTTAAGAATATGAAAATACCTAAATGTCCATAATATGGGGCGCAGGTTCCCGTTCAGCCTGGTAGGTCTGTCTGTTCTGGAGCTCTCTGGGCTGTATGTGGGGACTTGCACCAGAAAGGGCATTTCTGGCTTTCACATGCATGTGTGAACCTCTACAGATCTGTGAACATGTTTGTGTAATGGTCGGACCAAAGCATTCTATGAAAGTCCACTTACAGGAACACTTTAAATTGGCATTTTCTGTGCGTTGTTGGGTGTGCGATTCTGTGCCAGCTATTGCCACAAGATTTCCAGCAGTAATTTTCTTCTGATGCAATTGTCTGTCAACAGACCTGCGAAGCTGCCTTCGCTACGAAGGACCGTCTGAGAGCGCACATGGTGAGACACGAAGAGAAGGTCCCCTGTCATGTCTGTGGGAAGCTCCTTAGCGCTGCTTACATCACGGACCACATGAAGGTTCACAACCAGGGTCCAAACCACGTGTGCGAGCTGTGCAACAAAGGTAATACTACAGAGGAGTATTTATGTGCCTTCATCCTGCCATCCCCGCATGACACCAGAACACTCCCTATAACTCTCAGTGGGTGTATCCCAATGTCCAGCGATGCTCTTCTCAGCCAAGTTTGAAGAACCCATTTGGTGGGTTTGGTGGTCTTTGAGAGCCCATTGGCTTTGTAAACTTAGGGCTTTTGTGGTTTGGGAAGTAGGAAAACTCTAGAATCACAAAGGTTCTGGAGAAAGTGGAAGTACAGTGATTGACTCTGTACCCTCAAAACTAAATATATTCAACCGTAAAGGTTGTTTCCTGCCACGTGTCCACCCTTTGGCCATCTTTCTGAAGCCAGCCAGAGTTATTTGTTGGCCCTATGGATCCCCTGTGGGCATTTTCCAACAACCAGCTGGCTGCAGCATGGTGAGCAAAGGGCCGAAAGACTTGAGATTTGAAGATCTCTAAATTGAAGGGACAGATGACTGACGTAAAGCACACCACCACCTCCAGTTCATAGATTTCGCAATCTTTGATCCAAGTTTGTCCATTTGGTGGTGGGTCTGTAGAATACTAGACTAAAGTTGCTGATGCAGAAATATATAAATTTTAAATTTCTTTAAAAAATTGGTCAAACTATCAGCTTGAAATTCTGTTTTAATAGGGTGTGAAGGTAATTTTTAGGCTCAAACTATTCTTAATCCCATGGAACCACAACTTGTATTTTGGTAAAAAAAAATATTTTTTTTTTTTTACTTAGCCAAATGTAAATAATTATTTTACCAACCAGCTATCGGTGAGAATTTTGTGCCGTGACTTATGACTAAACTCCTCAGGGGTGGAGTTTTAGAGTATTATGTAAACCATAAACCCTTGTGGGATGAACATAATAGCCAAGCTCCTCGGGGGTGGGGTTAAGGGGGTAGTATGACAATCACAGGCTAGCAAGCTTGAGACTGGTATATTTTGATGAAATATATCCTGCCTTTAAAAACTGTTGCTGTTCTTTTAGCTATGCATGGCTTTACTTATAAGCTCTGCTAAGAAAAAAAACATACTGATTCTAATATCCTTTCCTGTCAGGCACTAAAAGTAATGAATGACAGACTGTCTATAGTGTGATTATACATGTTGATTTGTAAAGCCTAAGCATAAAGTTTAAGATTTTATTTATTTATTTTGTGTTTGGGGCAATACTGTGCTCTTAGTTGTCTTGTAGTTGAATTGAAGTAGATAAACTTCGAAATGGGATTTGTGGTGATTACTCCTTAGGGGTGGGAGTTATGTCTATTAAGTATTTTGTAAGACCAGAAAACATGAGGTTTAAATGTAAACTCCAGGCAAATGGCCATATGCACACCTAAAATTTAAAATACAAAATTTGTCTAAGTCTGTTCAGCAATTTTTGTTATTTCCACACTCTTGCCACAGTACACAGCCTGTTAGTGGCCACCATTATGGTCAGTGGTAGCAATGCTGCTCCTTGTATCACCTGCCTACCCATTGAACAGAATATGCATCATCCTACGGCCTCAACTGAGACCCCTGACATTACCAAAGAGCCGCACATAAAACTCTATGAATATTCAGTGTTAGAGACAGCAGACACACAACAGGATATAGTCAGACTGTGGACTCGGCGCAGGAGCGGGCCCGGAGGCTGGCGGCACGTCGCAGGAGCGGGCCCGGAGGCTGGCGGCACGTCGCAGGAGCGGGCCCGGAGGCTGGCGGCACGTCGCAGGAGCGGGCCGGAGGCTGGCGGCACGTCGCAGGAGCGGGCCCGGAGGCTGGCGGCGTGGCACGTCGCACTGAGCGGGCTAAGTTGTTAGAGACATGGCACATTAGACTGCAGGAAATCACGGCTATAACCGGCACGTCAATAGGAAATAAAGGTGTCTGGCAGGGCACGTCACGCAAGCGGGCCCGGAGGCGGCGGCATGGCGCAGGAGCGGGCCGGAGGAGGCCGGTCGGCATGGCGCTAAGTTGAGACATGTCACATTAGACTGCTGGAAATCACTGCTATAACCGAGCAATAGGGAAATAAAGATTAGTGCGCAGGGCTCACACAAAGGGTCAGAGGCCGGCGGCATGGCGCAGGAGCCGGTCATGAGGCCAGCGGCATGGCGCAGGAGCCGGTCGGAGGCCGGCGGCATGGCGCAGGAGCGGGTCAGAGGCCGGCGGCGCGGGTCAGAGGCCGGCGGCGCAGGAGCGGGTGAGAGGCCGGCGGCATGGTCGGACTGTGAAAATGCTATAGAAGTTGTTAGAGACTTGTTACATTAGACTGCTGGAAATCACTTCTATAATAGAGCAATGGGGAAATACAGATTAGTGTCTGCAGGGGCCCACACAAAGTGCCAAAGGGTCGGGGGTTGGGCGCCAGGTTTCTTCAGCAAGGTTCCCCCTCTCCTAAAGTGTTTTGTTTTTTTTTTTTTTTTTTTTTTTTTACCTTAAATACCCCTCCCCCCTCCTGATAAATAGCTGGCTGGTAGCACTGTGCTTTGCGATAGATTCTGATTGGCTAACTGAAAACTCCTCTTCTCTTTACTTCTGCGGTGCAGGAAATTGTTTGCCTGGAGATTTGCTTTACATGTTTTAAGCCAATAATACAGAAATCCCGTGATAAACAGAGTAAGGTAATTAAATATAAATCCTGTTAGCTTTGGCTGTGCAGGGCTTACCTGAGCAGTTCTGATGGGAATACACAATGGTCTCTTCCAGAGTCTTTATCCCTCTCTGCTCATCCCTGAAGCTCCCAGTCTTTGTATGGACTGTTCCCATTAGGATTCCAGGCCGTTGGGTTCTCACTTCTTCTGCTGCATTCTCAATGATCAAATAAAAAAAAAAATTTAAAAAATCAGCAGTGCGAGTGAGACCCTCTTTTTATTACAGGTGGGCAGAACAGAGAACTCATGGGGGGTGAGCACACCATCCTTCAGTGAAGCAATGCACAGCTCAAAGAATCTCAGCAAGGGCAGGAATTTGGACAGGCGGGGTTTAAAGGGAGGCTCCACCCTAAACCCATGTTATCTGTGATCAATAGTAGTCATGTGCTGGCTTCTGATGTTTCCTGGAGATTCCTGTGACGAGAGAGCTGTGCTGGAATTCTGCCAGTGATGGTGTCACTCTCCCCCTAATGGATTCTCCACAATGTAAATAATTGAGCGGAGAGTTCAGCGGCGAGGGAGTGACATCATAGGGAGCAGAGAACCAAACCGCCACCAGCGGAGTCTCCGATAGATATCAGAAGTGGGCGATGTAGTTCACTGGCACCAACCTATAACTGAAAGGTTCATGAGAGTTTACCTTTTTTAATTTGTAAAATCTGAATTTTAAAGCCGAACTCCAGCTAAACAAACAAGAAATACATAAATATGAGAGCTTTCTTCCCTATCAAATGTCCATCCAGTGCTGAGATTTGTGCAGCTCCATCTGGAAGGGCAGGAGACCTGCAATTAACACTTGCATGCCTTGTCCCTCCCCTCAGCCTGTGACTGGGCAGTGAAAGGAGAAGTAGCAGACTGATGAGCTCATCTTTCTGTCATTCTGCTCTCTCCTCCTATCAGCATGCCCCTTGTTGGCCTTGCAGCACAACTGATTGGCTACTTTGTGCTGCTTCTTCCTCTTGCAGCTTGAGCTCTGCTGTACTGGGGCTGCAAGAGGCTGACACAAAGCCATAATGCTTGCAAAAAAAAAAAACCATAAAATGTTATTAATGAATACAGAGCTGCATTACTTTTTTCCTTTATATCTGCCTGGAGTTCAGCTTTACTGTTTCCTGGTTATTAGAGGAGATAGCTGGTGTGGGTGCTTTGATTTTTGGGGGAGGGGGGTTGGGTGGCAGATTCTTAGTAGAGAGCAATGCCTGTGGCCCGGCCTTAAAGCGGCGTGTGCTTCTCCCCCCCGTGCAGGTTTTGCCACGGCCGCCTACTTGCGGGTCCACTCGGTGAAGCACCACGGTCTGGTGTGCCCACGGGCAGACAGCTTCCTCTGCAAGTTGTGCAGCGTACACTGCAAAACTCTGGCTCAGCTGAGCGGCCACATGCACACACATGCCATGGCGGGGGCCACGGGCCTTGCTGAGGGGCCCACACTGCAGTGACCACGGCTAAGGCAAGAGCGTAGTTACCTTTCCATACCCCTCCTTCCCCCTCCCCCCCCTCCCCTTCTCCTCCTTTTCCTTGGGGCTGTATGCATTGTGGGTAGCTGGCGCTGTCCTGAGCATTGCTGGGTCTTGGGGTACGGCCCATAATCCTCTCCTGTCCTCTTTCTTGGCACATCTGTCTCGTCATTCATGATTTTTTTGTCCGGGCTCGTCCTGTAATAGGCATGTCGAACTCACAGTGGTGTACAAATTATTGAGGGTAATTCCCAAAGGGCTGCATTATGGCCAAACTTGACCAAAAAAAAAAATGGTGGCACTTTTGGGAATTTGCTAATTCTGTAAAAAAAAAAAAAAAAAAAAAAAAAATGAATGGCTATCTATAGACTATTGCCGTTTAAAGAGAGGATAACCCTGAGAGGTGCTGGAAAGCATTTCCTGCACCGTTGTCCTTCGCTGTCTCTGGTTTGACATGCCTGTCATAATAGAATCTCGGTAATCCATGCTTTGTTTCTGCCGCTCGTCTAGCTGCCCAGTTTTGTCTCTCCATTCTGTGTCTTTTTTTGTTTTGCACAATTTTATGCTTTTGCAAAAAAATATATTTGTTATGCAGGTTTAAAAGGTGACTCCATATTAAAGTGTATGTAAAGCCAAAACTTTTGGGTTTTTTTTTTTTTTTTTCTTTTAGTTTTGGATAGAATGTGGAAGGGTTAGATCTTCCGTCAGGTTTGTATTGCTGTCTATGTCCCCACTCAAGATGAATCCCTCTATAGTTCCTGCTGACCATTGTCTCTGGTACGGATTGTGATGGGAGATACGTCACATGGTGAGGAGAGCGGGGGTACCCAGGGGTGGACTGACAACTCATGGGGCCCCCGGGCAATAGGGGATCATGGGGCCCCTGTGTCCTTGCCCAAACTCAAAAAAGCCTATGAAAAAGGTACCAGGGGGCATCTCATGGGGCCCCCTACTGACCCTGGGCCCTCGGGCAGTGCCCTAGTTTCCAAATAGTCAGTCCGCCCCTGGGGGGTACCTGTTCTGGTGACTATTCAAGCTGGTCATGGATGGTTCGAATCTCGGCCGGGTCATCAGGGACCGGCTGAGATTCAGTACATCTATGGGCAAGCTGAATATAACCAAGACGATCGTTCGATAGACTTGGGGAAAACCAGCATGTTTGATTTTTAGCATACGATGTATTGCCAGCGACTATAGCCACTAGCAATAATCACTGCATGGTTGCAGGAAAGAAAATTGTATAATCTATGGCCTGCCTAAGGGGGAATTTTGCCTTGCTATGATGAGATCTCCTCCTTTTAGTTTCTAGAACAGGAAGTGAAGGGAAACGGGGAAAAAAAAAAACGGGTGGACTTTAAAAAACATGGCGGTTAACCCGTTTTTTTTTATATTTTGTCTTCCCTGGTCCCCCCACCACCCTTTAGCCCTTATCAACATACAAATGCATTTTTTTCTTAAAACCTTTCTGTCGTCATAACAGATCTTATTTTAGAGCAAGTGATGATGTCATCAATAGGTTTCTGTGTTTCTCTATGCAATATGGGCAGATCATGACTGGTGGGAGGAGACAACAGGGTGCTGTACATGGGATCTTGAAAACATCACAGCCCTCTGCCTTTACCCCTTTTTAACATATCTGTGTTCCTGCGGACGGCGTTTTGCGCGGACACGAGAACCCATTCATTTGAACGGACTCTCGTGCATCGGGACACGCAGGGAAAGAAGTCCCCACACTTCTTTGGAAAACGCAGCCGAGGTTCCAAGTACGGTTGCGATTTCCAGTGCGGGCGACGCGCCATTAGAACTAATGGCACCCACCCGCGGGTCCACATTCTGATTTTTGTGCGGATCCTCAGCGGCACCACCCGCACAGATGTGAACCTAGACTTGGCACTCCTCAAGAGCCCCCAGTCCTGATGCAAAAGCAGTGGGCTGGCTCTTGGGAGGAGTTATGCAAATATCAAAAGCCCTTAATAGGTGGGTGTCGGTCTGGAGGAGTGGACATTCTAGGCAGGTCGCATGTTCATGTAGGTCACCCTAGGTAAGACATCCATGTGATGCAGAGAAAGGGGCCGGGCCAGGGACTGCCATGCTGGCGAGGAAAGAGCTAGATGATGCTGGTTGTCCTCCAGCCAGGAAATGAGGCAGGTTCTGATTTGCTGCAGCTTCTAATGCACATTTGTGAGCTGTCCACTGTGTGCAGTGAAATCAGAGTAAGCACTTTCAGTACTGGAGAGGAACCGGTACAACCGTGCAAGACTGAAGGCTGGAGGTCAGATTTAACCAGGGGCGGACTGACCATTTGGAAACTCGGGCACTGCCCGAGCGCCCGGGGTCAGTATGGGGCCCCATGAGATGCCCCTGGTACTTTTTTTTTTTTTTTAATAGGTTTTTTTGAGTTTGGGCAAGGACACAGAGGCCCCATGATCCCCTATTGCCCGGGGGCCCCATGAGTTGTCAGTCCACCCCTGGATTTAACCATTGCCTATTTTTACCAAAACAAAAGGTTTTTTTTTTTTTTGGGTTTTTTTTTTGTTTTTTTTCACGAATGCTTTACTATATCAAGTTGAGATCGGTGAAGAGAGTATAGTGTTTGAATGTCTTTAACTTTTTGTTGCTCTATCCTGGTCTGCAAAATTGTGGGACTGGCATAGGAATTTAAAAAAAAAAAAAAAAATTCCCTGTAGAATGTGTAAATGTCAATTCTACGCTCTCTCCTCCTTTTGCTCTTCTCATTCCTCTGTGATACATGGAGACACCCTTTAAACTCCACCACCCCCCATTTGGTGAATGTGCTCAGTTCTCAATTGTGTTTTTTTTGTTTTTTTTTCCTGTCTTGCAGGGACCTGCCAAGTCTGCCCTCTGTCGGACCCAACGGCGGCCGCCGTGACCGCTGTCCTGCCCAACGCTACTGTCCCTGGCATAATGCCGTCGCAGCCCTGGTGACTGGCTCTTCTGGAGGGGGATACAGACGCTGCGGCCTCTCTCTTCTGATGTGTTTGTGTACAGACTGGTGGGGGGGGCGATGGCCCCTCCGATGCGCACATAATGTATTATGAAGAGGGGGTGCATGTAACCTCCTCCTGTCACCTTCAACCTCCCCAGGGAGGAATTATGAAGGGGACATGGAAAGACAAAAACAATAAAAGGAACACCATCCATACCGACAGCTTGGTATTACCAATACCCTATTGCCCCATATTCACTACTAGACACGAACTGCACTGGGCAGAACTTTATACACTACACCCCCCTGGGTGGTGGGAAGAGGAGTGTAGCGTTTAATTGGCATGTGGCCCTCGTTGTGAAACTTTCCGGCCCCACTGTGGACAGAGCAGCTGGTGTGGAGGTGGCACATAGGGATGGCACGGGATTGGGCCACTGCAGTAGGGAAAAGCTAGCCGCACAGGCTTGTCTAGCAGAGTTGGACTTCACTAGACATTTTATCTGCAGTTTTGCCAGGTTGTCGGACAGACGCAGCGTCCTGCGGATGGTGTAGACTTACTTTATTTCAATGAGTTTTAATAACACTAGATGAAGAGTACTTTTTTATCTTTATTCTTTGCCAGTTCAATGGCTGGCTGTCAAAAGTGGGGGAGTATAGAATTTCAGAAGGCCCCCTGGGAAAGTAGAGGTAGGTATGAAAGTTCCATTAAAAAAACGTATTTGTGCTGCAAAGAGGGGGAAGTGGCACTTTTTAATGAAACGGGGGAGGGGGGTTGTACTTGGAGCAGCTGGGAAGAATGGGTAGGGGGGAGGGCTGTATTTGAGTAAGAGGAGACTTACTGGAGGAACAAGGGGCTATACTGGACTAGCATGGAGGAATGGGGGCCTTGCTGGAAGAGCAGGGAGTAAAAGGGTGTTGAATTTTAGGAACAGTAGACTGTACCCAAGGAGCAGGGAGAAGCGGGGCTGTACTGAAGAAATAGGAGACCTACCAGAGGAACAGCAAGGAACGGGGGGGGGGGGGGGGGGTGCTCTACTGGTAGAACATTGAGGAATGAAGGGAGGCTTTATTAGAGGAAAATGGAGAAACCTTGCATGGTACTAGAGAGGAACAGGGAGAGCAAGGAGGCTTTACCAGGAAAATGGGGGGCCTTGCTGGAGTAGCATTGTGGAACCCAGGGGCCTTGCTGGAGGAGCTAAGAGAAGCTGGGTGCTTGCTAGAGGAGCCAGGGGCCTTGCTGCAGTAGCCAGGAGGAACCAGGAGCCTTACTGCAGTATAGCCAGGAGGAACCAGAGGCCTTGCTTGGAGGAGCAGGAAGGAATAGGTTGGGTTTTGCTGGAGGAACAGGGAAGAATTATAGCTTTTCTGGGGGAGCAGGAAGGAACTGGAGCCTTGCTGGAGGAGCAGGGAGGACCCCAGGGGCTTGCTGGAGCAGCAGGAAGGAATAGGTTGGGTTTTGCTGGAGGAACAGGGAAGAACCATAGCTTTTCTGGGGGAGCAGGAAGGAACTGGAGCCTTGCTGGAGGAGCAGGGAGGACCCCAGGGGCTTGCTGGAGGTGCAGGAAGGAACCAGGGACCTTGCTGAAGGAGCAGGAGACTGTGGTGCAGCGGAGAGGAACCTAGAGCTCCGTGAAAACATTTGGGACTGCCGAAAATGCACAACAGAAATATTGGCAAGCAGAAAAGAGGATGAGAACCATGCTGTGGTTGGCTTTACTGCCCTGATTATTACCATGGATAAAGTCCAGGGCATTTATTAACAGGTTTAAATGTCATGACCATCCTTGTGCAGAGTTTCAGGACACAATGCAGGGTTGGGGACTAAAATCTGGCATCCCCATATTTTTTTAATTTTTATTTTTTTTATTTACCCTTTGTCTGATCCTGTTCACCAAATAATATTTCACTCTGTGACTCCCACCTGAAGCCGTTCAGCAACCTGATAAGCTTAGAACTTTGTAAATTGGTTTTACGAACTTTGGGAAGCGACCACCGCTATAGTAGAACAAGTCGTAAACTGTGTTGCTCTGACAATACCTACAAATGCTGCTGACGAACTAGTTTTTGTAGATGGCTATAATGAAATTAACAATGAAGCAAGTTGTAATTATCAGTGAACTCTGAGATCTCATTGAGTTCTGAATGTTGGGAGTATGGGTTGGGTTTGCAGATCCAGATGTCACTGAAGCCCATACAGATGGGTTTCTAGAGCAACTTTTTGAAATTTTTCAGATGTGTCCAAGCACTTATCTGACCCTAGAATTTCGGTCCTAGTTGTTAGCACATTATATTTTAAAAGGTCCTGTCAACTGCATTTTGTACATTATTCCAGTACTGAGGGTGCATCCTCTTCAAGTGATTCTGAACTAGGCTTTTGAATGACCAAAAGCACGAGGGCACCCCTCAATTGATCAAGTTCAGGTGTTTCCAGTGAAGGATACTTTTATTGTTACAGCATATAAATTTAAATATTTTAGTCAACTGTGTGTGCTTCCAGCCTTGTAACAACCGTTTTGGGAAGGCCATCTTGTGTTCCGGCATGCCTGAGCCTCTATGCAAAAGCTACCATGATAAAGACAAGGTTTGACCAAGTTGGTGTGAAGGAACTCAAGTGTTCTGCAAAGATTCTTGACCTCAACCTTACTAAACACCCTTAGGATGAATTGGAACACCATATGTGATCCAGGTCTTCTCATCCAACAATAGTACCTGACCTCACAAATGTTCTTTTGGCTGAATGTGCACAAATTCCCACAGATTCACTCCTTCCCCAAAGAATATGGATGTTATAGCCACAAATGGAGGACCACTGCCTAATAATGGTCATGGTTTTGGAATGGGATGTCTAACAAGCTCCTATAGGTGTGATGGTCCGGTGTCCTCAAACATTTGGCCATATAGTGTATCTTGATTCACACTAACGTTTATGAAAACCTTGTTTTTAATGTGCATTTTTGCATCTGTTTTGTCGATGTTACTGCAATAACTGGGTAAAGTGCACCAAAACGCACATCATATGCTAAAGGACAACAAAATGTAGCACACCCTGATTGCAATTGCAGCTTGATGAATCAGGACCGTAGGTCTATTATTTAAAAGGTTTAAAATTAAATATACTTTTTCTTTTTTTGTTTTTTGTTTTTTTTTCCCCCACAAAGAAAGCAAATTTATTGATAGATTTTGCTTGTCTGTAAATACTTTTCCATCACCGGTGTCCTCATCCAACTTGAATGAACTGGAGACACAGAGGTGGGAAAAATTTTAAAAGCAAAGTACGTGGAATAAGATGGTGATTTTTGTCGATCTCTTTTAATAGGCTCAGCGGATTTTATTGCGTTTTTTTTTTTTTTTTTTTTTTTTTTTTTTTTCTTTATTCTAGGATAGGTAGGACTTATTTCACAAGCTCTTAGTAAATTTTATAGAGAATTGTCCCTAACTGCACTGCACAAATTCAGTGTCTTCAGGAAGTCATAAGTCACTCAAAGTGTATGTCTGGGCAAACTGTACTAGCTTCCTGTAGTGAACTGACCCAGTGGGGTGAGGCAGTTGGTGTGGTCGTCCTGGGCGCAACATTTAGAGGGGCGCAGGCTCACAGTGTGTGTCATCCAGTGTGACCCCCCCGCTCGGTCATCCAGTGTGACCCCGCTCGGTCATCCAGTGTGACCCCGCTCGGTCATCCAGTGTGACTCGCACTGGATGACCGTGAGCGGGCTCATGCTGGATTGAGAGAGTGGGCTCAAAGGTGTGCGCTTGGGCACAGCCTAATCTAGTGGCAGTGCCTGGGGGGGGGGGGGGGGGGGTGCTGGGGTTCACCCCCATCTATCCATCCAGTTGTCACGGGGCTGACAAGGTCTGCCTTTTGAGTTTCTCCCCTGGCTACAGTGTCCCTCTAGTGCCGGCACACAGCATTTTGAAGTTTGCAGCCGGTGGGGACTCTGTCAGCTGTGCCGCATCTCCCAAGACTAAGGAGGTGGTGGCTGGGCCGACGGTGTGGCCAAACTCGCCCTCATATACACTCACAGGGGGCTGCTCTGGCTGATCAAGCAGCTGAAACTGGGAAGGTGGCGGAGCAAAGATGGCAGCCCAGGAGTCTTCTACTTCCAGTAGGCTGATGGGGAGAGGTTTACATTTATCACTGCAGGAATTCCCTCCATGATGCTTACAGCTTACACTGCACACAAAGGACTGGGAGAACTGCTCCCCGCCCTCCCACTCCACACTGCTCGCTGACTGGCTGTGCGCACTGCTCGCTGACTGGCTGTCCGCACCGCACAGTGACTGTCCTCATCACATACTGCTCGCTGACTGGCTGTCCGCACCGCACAGCGACTGTCCTCACCACATACCGCTCACTGACTGGCTGTCCGCACCGCACAGCGACTTTCCTCATCACATACCGCTCACTGACTGGCTGTCCGCACCGCACAGCGACTGTCCTCACCACACACTGCTCGCTGACTGGCTGTCCGCACCGCACAGTGACTGTCCTCATCACATACTGCTCGCTGACTGGCTGTCCGCACCGCACAGCGACTGTCCTCACCACATACCGCTCACTGACTGGCTGTCCGCACCGCACAGCGACTGTCCTCATCACATACCGCTCACTGACTGGCTGTCCGCACCGCACAGCGACTGTCCTCACCACACACTGCTCGCTGACTGGCTGTTCGCACCGCACAGAGACTGACTGTCCTCATCGCACACTTCTCACTGACTGGCTGACCGCACAGTGACTGTCCTCATCGCACACCACTCGCTGACTGGCTGTCCGCACCGCACAGTGACTGTCCTCATCGCACACTGCTCACTGACTGGCTGTCCGCACCGCTCGCTGACTGGCTGTCCGCACCGCTCGCTGACTGGCTGTCCGCACCGCTCGCTGACTGGCTGTCCGCACCGCACAGTGACTGTCCTCACCACACACTGCTTACTAACTGGCTGTCTTCACCGCACAGCAACTGTCCTCGCCGCACACCTCTTACTGATTGGCTGTCCT